AGCAGGCTTCCAAGAGAGCAGTGAGCCCCATGCAGGGCTCAGTCCCAGGACCCTGGGATCAATATCTGAGCCAAAGGCACACGTTTAATGACTAAACCACCCAGGTGCCCCAATAGTCATATTTTAAACATTGGATTATTTGTCAGTATTTTTGGTGTTGTTGTGTAAGTTTTTTATATATTTTGGATATTAATCCCTTATTTGAACCTATCATTTGCAAATATCTTTTCCCATTCAGCAGGTTATCTTTTTGTTTTGTTGATGGGTTCCTTTGTTGTGCAAAAGCTTTTTATTTTGGTACAGTCCCAGTAATTTAATTTTGCTTCTGTTTCCCTTGTCAAAATAAACATATCTAGAAAAATATTCTATGGCTGATGTCAAAGAGATTACTGCCTATTTTCTTCCAAGAATCTTATGGTTTCAAATCTTACATTTAGGTATTTTAATCCACTTTGAGTTTATTTTTGTGCTTTGTTATAAGACAGTGTTTCAGTTTCATTTTTTTGGCATGTGGCTATCTAGTTTTTTCAATCCCATTTGTTGAAGAGACTGTTCTTTTTCCATTGTATATTCTTGCCTCCTTTGTCATAGATTAATGGACCATACAACTGTGGCTTCATATCTGGGCTCTCTGTTTTGTTCTGTTGATCAATGTGTCTATTTTTGTGCCAGTACCATACTTTTTTAATTACTACAGCTTTGTGGTATATCTTGAAATCTACAATTGTGATATGTCCAGCTTTGTTCTTTTTCAAGATTGCTTTGGCTATTTGGGGTCTTTTGTGGTTGCACACAAATTTTAGGATTATTTGTTCCGTTTCTGTGAAAATAGCTTTAGTATTTTGATAGAGATTGCATTAAATCTGTAGGTTGCTTTGGATACAATAGGTATTTTAGCAATTTTGTTCTCCCAATCCATGAGCATGGAATAAATTTCCATTTGTTTGTGTCACCTTCAATTTCTTTCATCAGTGTTTTCTAGTTTTCAGAGTAAAGGTCTTTCAACTCCGTGGTAAAATTTAGTCCTAGGTATTTTGTTCTTTTTGGTACAGCTGTAAATGGGATTGTTTTCTTAATTTCTCTTTTTGCTACTTTATTATTAGTGTATAGAAATGCAATAGATTTCTTAATATTATTTTTTTCCTGTGACTCTACTGAACTCATTTATCAATTCCAGTAGTTTTTTGGTGGAGTCTTTAGGATTTTCTTTATATAGTATCATGTCATCTGCAAATAGTGAAAGTTTTACTTCTTCCTTACCAGTTTGGATGCCTTTTATTTCTTTCTTTTTTTTTTTTTTAATTTTATTTATTTATTTGACAGAGAGAGATCACAAGTAGACAGAGAGGCAGGCAGAGAGAGAGAGAGAGAGAGAGAAGCAGGCTCCCTGCTGAGCAGAGAGCCCGATGTGGGACTCGATCCCAGGACCCTGAGATCATGACCTGAGCCGAAGGCAGCGGCTTAACCCACTGAGCCACCCAGGCGCCCCTTTTATTTCTTTTTGTTGTCTGACTGCTGTGGCTAGGACTTCTAAAACTAGGCTGAATAAAAGTGGTAAACATCTTTGTCTTGTTCCTGATCTTAGAGGAATAGTTTTCTCCCCTGGAGTTTGATATCAGGTGTGGGTTTTTTCATATATAGCCTTTATTATGTTGAGGTATGTTCCCTCTAAACTTTGTTAAGGGTTTTTACCATGAATGGATATTGTACTTTGTCAAATGCTTTTTATGCATCTATTGAAATGATCGTATAGTTTTTATTCTTTCTCTTTTAATGTGATGTATCATGTTGATTGATTTGCGAATATTGAACCACCCTTGTATCCCTGGAATAAGTCCTACTTGATCATGGTGAATGATTTTTTAACATGTTGCTAGATTTGGTCTGCCAATATTTTGTTAAGGTTGTTTGCATCTCTGTTCATCAGAGATATTGACCTGTAGATCTCTTTTTTGGGTAGTGTCTTTATCTGGTTTTGGTTTCAGAGTAGTGCTGGCCTTATAGAATGAATCTGGAAGCTTTTCTTCCTCCTCTATTTTTTTGGAATAGTTTTTTTTTTTTTAAATTAAGATGTAATATATTATTTACTTCAGGGGTACAGGTCTGTGACTCATCAGTCTTATATAATACGCAGTGCTCATTACAACGCATACCTTCCCCAATGTCCATCACCCAGTTACCTCCTCCCCCCACCTCCCTTCCATTCAGCAATGCTGTTTGTTTCCCAAGATTAAGAGTCTCTTATGGTTTGTCTCCCTCTCTGGTTTTGTCTTGTTTCATTTTTTCCTCTCTTCCCATATGATCCTCTGCCTTGTTTCTTAAATTCCACATACCAGTGAGATCATATGATAATTGTCTTTCTCTGATTGACTTATTTTGCTTAGCATAATACCCTCTCATTCTATCCACACCATTGCAAATGGTAAGATTTCTTTTTCTTTTCTTTCTTTCTTTCCTTTTTTTTTTTTTTTTTTGGATGGCTGCTATTTTTTGGAATTGTTTGAGAAGAATAGGTAATAACTTTTTAAAAAATGTTTGCTAGTATTCACCTGTGAAACCATCTGTCCCTGGACTTTTGTTTGTTGGGAGTTTTTTGATTGATTCATTTTCATTGGTCTGTTCAAATATTCTGTTTCTCTCTGATTCAGTTTTGAAGGTTATATGTTTCTGGAATTTATCCATCCCTCTAGGTTGTTCAATTTGTTGACATACAATTTTTTATAATGTTATCTTATAATCATTTGTATTTCTGTGGTCTTGGTTGTTATTTCTCCTCTTTCATTTCTGACTTTATTTGAGTCTCTTCTCTCTCTCTCTTTTATTCAATCTCTCCCTCTCTCTCTCTCTTTATTATTATTATTATTATTATTTTTGATGAGTCTGACTAAGGGTTTTTCAATCTTGTTGAACTTTTCAAAGATTCAGTTCCTGGTTTCATTGATTATTTAGTCATATTTTTGTAATGCTTTATAGTTATGACTCAATTTTCCCTAGAATGTATTGGAATGTCTGTACAAGTGTGGGGCCATATTCCTGGAAATCAACCTGATTTTTATGGGCCTGTAGCTACTTAAATTCAATAAGAGCTATAAGAGGTTGAATCAAAAATATATTGGGGGTGGAAATTATTTATTTGAGACTTATAGCTTTGCTAGTAAATTATTTATATACTATTAACTGATTAATCATAAAATAAATGAAGTTGGACTTTAAGTATCCTTCAAGGTTCTATCTGAATGTTCTTGGAGTTGTCTTAGCTGAGCTCAAAAACAGTCTTCTTTGTTACTGTGTGAAGTTACCATATTTCCTGCCTCCCACTCTGACACCCACATTGGTATCTCTGGCCTACTCAGCCATTCAAGTGGTATCTCACTTTGCCCATTGTTCATGTGCCTAAAATGACCACAGTGGTGTCCAATGGCAAGAAACTTCTCACAGTGTAAACTGTTGAGATATCAAAGCAGCACTTCCTTTCTTAGAGTCACTGAAGGCTGGAACTGTGCTGTGTTACATGCAGAAATGAAAGAAGTTTCATTGTCCTGAATCATCATTGGTACCACAGCAGTACTGCCATATGTCCATGTCTCAAGGGATTCCCTGTGAAAACAGCTCTTCAACTTCCATACATATCCCTGCTTTGGGAATGGTGCAGGCTGAAGTTCATGGAGTGAACCATGGACCCACTGTTTGAAACGGACCCTATGATGTTCTTTTCTACTTTACCTTGAAAGGAGAGAAGAGACAAATTAAGAAGTTTGGTGGTATTTTAGGCTCAGTATTGAGGTCCTGCATTAAGAGAGTGGTGATGGAGATGAAAAGGAGGCTAGTAAGATTTACTGGGATTGTGAATTCTAATGCCTATATGGTGATGAAGATGAGAAGTCAATTTTGGATCTGTTGGGTGAGACAATGAGCAACATCTGAGTAGAGATATTGAATGCATATGTGGGACAGGCGCTCAGGAGAAAGGTTGAGATTAAAGATGATGATCTGGGAATTATCACCCTATGTGGTACTTAAAGCCAGGGAGTATGTGCAAAGTGAAAATTGAGAACTGAGGATACAACCCTAAGAAAGAGAAGCCAATGAGGAGAAGGAGTCAGAGATGCTGGAGGACAACCAGAAGAGAATGGGAGCACTAATGCCAAAAGAAGGAGTTTTAAGGAAGGAGCTGGCATTTCTATTAAGCATACCAATTTCAAGTTAAAGATGGAAAATTTTTCTTTTGATTATGGCTACAATGAGTGATGATAACTTTATTAGGAAAATATTTTCAGTGAGGCTGTGGTTACAGTAATTTTCAAAGTAATCTACACCCAATATGGGGCTCGAACTCATGACCCTGCCTGCCTTCAAGAGTTACATGCTCTACCCACTGAGCCAGCCATGAGCCCCACAATAATTATTTTTAATATAAAAAAGATTGCACATATTTTCCAGTTGGGTCAACTGAATAAATTAGAAGAGTTGAGCAAAATGCAATGTTTACTGGAATTTTCCATGTTAAATGGTACTAGGGAGACTATAAAGAAATAACAAGATAACTCATATAATTTTTAATCAAGAGGTTGTTCTATTCTCCAAGAACTCTTTCATCAAAACTCCTAAGAAAGTGGGCATGAGTTGATTATCCTCATTTCCTTTCCTTTCCATTTCTCTTTTCTTGAACTTCCTAGCAGAACTGTGATTAGAACTGGCAATTTTACATTTCCGTTTGATAGTTTTCTCAAAAACATAGGCTTCTCTCTTTTCAGGCACACGTAATTCTTACTGTGGAATATCCTGTTTGGTTACATTCTACTAATTATCCTCTTAGAACTTCAGTTTTCTCATCTGTTACACAGGGATAGCAATGCCCACATGGTAAGTTGTTGTGATGATTAAATGAAATAATATAGGAAAAGTGCTGGACATGTTTTAAGTATACAGTACGTCTTAATTATTATTTATGAAAGAACCTATTATTTGGAAGACTAATGGGATTTTTTTTTCTTTTTAAGGAAGAGATATTAAAAAACTATATTTCAATATCTATTTATCTTTCAACTCCATGGATTTTCCAATGCGCAAAGAAGTTGTTTGCAGAGGATCTGATGATCTTTATTCGTTCTGCAGAGCTCTGAAGGGAGGTAAACATTGAATTCGTATTATTTTCAGAATAGAACAGAATAGTTTATGAGAATGTTCTGAATATTAAATGCACTGAAAATGTGCAATTGCTTTTCTAATAATTTTTTCATCCAAAGTTTTTACTTTTAGCAGCTTAAACAACTTTAACAATTATGTCATTGAATTATTATGAAGATGGTACTTATTTAAAGTGTGTTTGAAGGTATATTAAAATTTTTACCTTGTTCAGATTAATATTGTACATTTACCATTGGTTATGGATCCCTTTTTCTAAACATTACAGTTATTATTTTTTATAGAAACTCACTGAACCACAGCCAAGGGAACAGGATTGATGGAATCAGAGGGGAAAGAAAAAAAAAAGGAATTTAAAAATTTGCTAAAAAAGAACACCTCAAGGGCACTTGGGTGGCTCAGTGGGTTAAAGCCTCTGCCTTCAGCTCGGGTCATGATCCCGGGGTCCTGGGATCAAGCCTCACATCGGGCTCTCTGCTCCATGGGGAGCCTGCTTCCCTCTCTGTCTGCTTCTCTGCCTTCTTGTGATCTCTGTCAAATGAATAAATAAAATCTTTTAAAAAAAAAGAACACATCATTAGATTTTTCTTTGTTTTCTCCAATGTCTTCCCCCAATTTTTTCCACCCTGATGTTATTCACAGAATCACAAAATTTCAGAGCTTAGGACCTTAAAGGCTACTTATTGCAAACTCATGAATTTTTCCTTAATAATTTTTAAACTAGGGGTGCTTGGGTGGCTCAGTGGGTTAAGCCTCTGCCTTCAGCTCAGGTCATGATCTCAGGGTCCTGGGATCGAGTCCCGCATCGGGCTCTCTGCTCAGCGGGGAGCCTGCTTCCTCCTCTCTCTCTCTCTGCCTGCCTCTCTGCCTACTTGTGATCTCTGTCTGTCAAATAAATAAATAAAATCTTTAAAAAAATAATTTTTAAACTATTATTTTAAGTAGTTTAAATGTTTATAAATATTATACCATCACATTACCAAAAATTGCAAAGTATAAACAATAAAAATATCACAGAATCATATTTCTAAAAACATTTTGGAGTATTTCCTTCCAATTTTTCAATTTTGTGCATTGCATTGCTTATATACTTAAAAGTATACTACACTATAATATTTTTTTCTTTTTTTTTTTAAAAGATTTTATTTTTAAGTAATCTCTACACCTAACATGGGGCTTGAACTTAAAACCCCAAGATCAAGAGTCACATGCTCTACTAACTAAGGCAGCCAGGTGTCCCAATAACTTTCTGTTAAAAATTATTGTATAAATTTTTTGACTAGATGATCCATGTGGTTCAAAAACCAAGATATAAACATTACACAATGAAACATTTTCCTTAGTGGGTGTGCTCTGGTTTATTTAACCATTCTCCTGTTGGACATCACTTTCCTTATGATAGTTTTATTATTATAAATAATACTGTAATAAGTATATTTCTGTACAATTTTTCTCATATTTCATATTTGAATATGTTTGCAAGGAATTACATATAACTCCCAGGGAAATATTTGAGCTTAATTGGGTTGACTATGTTTGTGGTTTTGTCTACATAGGCCAAATTACTTTTCTAAAGGAATGTATCAATTTATACATTATATCATCACCAATGTGTAAGTACAGTAGTTTAATCTCTGTCTTCTTAACAGTGGACACTATCATCTAAAAAAAAAGAAGTTTTAAAAAAACTATTAGGTTAAAAAAATTGTTTTATTAACATTTAAAAATTACTATTGTAGTTAAATATTTTCCTATACAATTGTTACCATTAACCTGTGCCCTCTCTCTCTCTTTTTTTTAAAGATTTTATTTATTTATTTGACAGAGATCACAAGTAGGCAGAGAGGCAGGCAGAGAGAGAGAGGAGGAAACAGGCTCCCTGCTGAGCAGAGAGCCCGATGAGGGGCTCGATCCCAGGACCCTGGGATCATGACCTGAGCTGAAGGCAGAGGCTTTAACCCACTGAGCTACCCAGACACCCTGTGCCCTCTTTTTTTTTAAAAAAAAGGTTTTAGGTAGGGGCATCTGGCTGGCTCAGTTGGTTAAGTGTCTGACTCTTGATTTCGGCTCAAGTCATGATCTCAGGGTTGTGAGATTGGGTCCTGCATTAGGCTCCCTGCTCACTGGGGAGTCTGCTTGGGATTCTCGCTCTCTCTCTCCCCTTCTAAATCCCCCTGCCCAGTTCTCTCTCTCTCTCTTAAAAAAAAAAAAAAAAAGAAGATTTTAGGTAGTTAACATGTATACATTAAATATAGCAACATAGCATAAATTAGATATAGATGGGATAAAAAAATGGAAAATAAGGTCTGAGAATTAATGGAAGGAGAGTAGTATAAAAATGCATATCAGGCTTATACTGGCTTCAACATTTGTATCAATTTGATTATACATTTTCTAGCAGTCATTAAACAAATTGTTTCTAAGTACATCAGTTTTTTTGCTATGCAAGTGAAACTTTGAGATATGTCTCCTAGCCAACCATCTCTCCACAGCTCTGACTTGCCTGCCACCCCCAAACCATGTGCAAATAATGGAGCTGGCATTGCTTCTAAGTCTGAGCTCAGAGTTGGGAAGACCTGAGTCTGTCCCAGCATTTCCTCCTACCAACAATGTGGCCTTGGGTATGTTATTTAACCTCTATCTGCCTCATTTTCCTCATCTGTAAAATGGGGACAGTGAAATCTATTGTACATGATCTTAAGGATATAATTAGAAAATGCATATAAAAAAGATTAGTACAGTGTTCAGAATAAGAATTCAAGAAGTATGGTTCTCAAATAATACTCATGTGGGTAATGGGAGTCCTTTTGTTCCTGGTTTTACAGTCCTGTCATTTTTACAAGTGGGGAGACTGATTCCTGGGGTGACTCAGTAATGTGTCTTTGGCCATTTGGAGAACTAGTGACAGAGTAGCATCATGACTCTTAAAGCCCACTCTTCCACTGTACCATGCTTTCTATTTGAAAAAACAAAACAAAACAAAACAAAAAAACCCTCTTGGAAGATCACTGTTTTTAAAAAAACTTTCAAAATCCCACATAATCTCTGTGGGATTATGTTGACGTCTTATCTGAATTTTTAAAGTTTCACTTTCTTGATATCTAAGATGTGTCAGACTAAACCCAGTCTGCTGGCTTTTCCTTCCTTCCTCAGTTCCTTCCACAAACATTTGTTGAACCTAATTTGAGCAAGTCATGGTTTAGGCTCTGGTGATCCAAAGTTCAATGATAGGGTCTTCCTCATCAGAGAGTCCCTCTGTTCTGGGAAAGACAGTCATGGGAACAAAAATTATAATGAAATGTCATAAATGCCAATAGAATTATATGCTCCTAGTTTTAACTATATAGTTATCAATTTGCTGTGACAGAAATTAGATAAGTTTTCAGAGACTGTTACTAAAGTCTTGAATCTAGGAACATCAGAGAAGAGGAGGAAGGACATTCCTTGGAGAGGAAACAGCATATGCAAACACATCTAGCCATGAAAGAATACGGTTTATTTGGAGAGTAGGGTTTTTTTTTTTTTTTATTGTTATTGTTTTTTGTTTTTTGTAGCTAGAGCAGAATTTGCTGGAGAAGAGCCTAGGAAAGGGGGCAGGAGCAAGCATGTAAGTCATGCACAAAATATTGGCCTGCATCTTGTCATCACTGGGTACTGATGACCCACCAAGATAATCAGTTTTGCAGATAACTGGTGTCCATATGGAAGCAGGCGGGGGTTGGCTGAGGCAGGAAACTGGGATAGAAGGAAGAGCAGCCAGGAGGCCGTGTAAGAGACCCTGAGGGATGAACAAAGATGGCAGCCTGAGAGCAGAGGGGAGGAGAAGAGAGAGGGCATATTTGGAGACAGAATTGGCAGGATATGCTGATTGATTTGATGTGGCAGGCAAAGATTAGGGAAAATCAAGGGCTGGTAGAGGACCAGTGACTGGATTAGCAGAAGTACCATTATCTGAAATGATAGGTGCAGAAGAAGGGGCAGATTTTTAAAGAGAAAGCAATGGGTTCTGGCTTGGGCACATTGAGCTCAAGGTAATTTTGGAACACTCAAATAAACATGTCCATCTGGTAGCTGAGTATATGGGCTCAGAGCTCAGGGCATTCTGATTTAAGAAGTACTGATGCCATCAAGAGACCCTTGAAAATTTAGGAATCAAATTAGTAAGTACCATACATATCTATTTTTAAAATAATTTTCTTTTTTGTATTTGTTACAAAAGTCGTATATTTTTAGGGTATGATATTTAGAAAATCTAGGCAAGCAAAAATAAAATAAAAATTACCCATAATATTACCACTTCTTCCACATACGTACATAAACACACACATCTTTGTTTCTTTTAAAAACACATTTAAAGGACACCTGGGTGCCTCAGTGGGTAAAGTGTCTGCCTTCGGCTCAGGTCATGATCTCAGGGTCCTGGGATCCAGCCCCAGGTTAAGCTCCTTGCTCAGCAGGGAGTCTCCTTGTCCCTCTCCTCTGCCTCTAACCCCAGCTCGTAATCTCTTTCTCTCTCATAAATAAATAAATAAAAATCTTTTTAAAAAACCACATTTGAAAATAAATAAATGGATATTCCAAAGGCATCTTTAAAAAAAAATGATTTTATTTATTTGTCAGAGAGAGCGAGAGAGAGCACAAGCAGGGGGAGCAGCAGGCAGGGGGAGAAGCAGGCTCCTCATTGAGCAAGGAGCCTGATATGGGACTTGATCCCAGGACCCTGAGATCATGACCTGAGCTGAAGGTGGACGCTTAACCTACTGAGCCACCCACATATCCCATAAAGGAATCTTAAACTTAATTTATCTGTTAGCCCTGTTTCCAGAATCTTGGTAGCATTTCTGTAACAAAGTACCACAAACTGGCTGGCTTAGAACAGCAGATATTTATTGTCTGACAGTCCGGAAGCTAGAAGTCCAACATCCAAGTATTGACAAGGCTGTGCTCCCTCTGATGGGGTGAGGGAAGGATCTATTCTGGGCCTCTCTCCTAGCTTCTAAAGGTCCCAGGTGATTCTTGCCTTGTAGATGCCATCTTCTTCCTGTGTCTCTTCACAGTCTTCTCTATGCATGTCTGTGTGTGTGTCTAAATTTCCCCTTTTTATAAGGACACAGTCATATGAGATTAGGGCCCACCTTAATGACCTCATCTTCACCATCTTGCAAAGGTGTTATTCCCAAATAAGGCCATGTTCACAGACACCGGGGGTTAGGACTTCAACATCTTTTTGAAAGACAAATTCAACCCATAACACCATCTGAGACTTGGGTCCTCCCATTCTGCGTAGTTGCTAGGAACATTGTGCTGGACCATAGGTGAGCTGCATGGGAAGTAGAGAGGCGCCTAAGCAGGGAAGGGCTCTATCTTCTTTTCCTCGGGCCCAGCTTTGGTTCTCTCCTGGCTTCTTGAATGTGGGCAAAAGTGTTGAGCTAAGTTCCCATAGAATAGAATGGGATATGTGAGCAACATATGAGCTTTCTTAGAGAGACAAAACAATGGAAAAAGATTACCCTACAGAAGAGGCTAGTAATACCCCTTCTTCCCTCCTGACCTGGTAAACATTTGGGCAGTCTCCCCAGATAGAAATCTTGGAGTTACTCTTCATTTCTTTCTCAAATCCTCAAGTCTCATCCATCTCCTTTCTTTTCTCTCTCATACAAAGTTTTCAGGATTATCTTCACAACCAGGGCTTCGTGTTTAGAAAAGGCTTCACATTTAGAGTTTAATATTCTGTGATCATAGTCTTGAGATTCTTAATAATTTTATCTTTGAGTATGTATTCTGTAAGTGAAGTCTGATGGGACATTGGGGCATGCATGCAATTCCCTAGATTGGTTCTTGTCTTCCTGCTGCCCAATCCTCTGCTGGTACCCTCGACCCTGCTTGGTACCCTGCTCCCCAGTTACAGCCATTGATCCCTTCCACCTGGTGGGAGTCTGGACGCAGGGAGGGTCAGATGCCCTGCAGTGTCTGAAGTGGGGTGTGGCCATGGTCACCCCACTTGGGCAGCCCCATGGCACCTTTCACTCTGTGCCAAGAGAACATTTCCTTGGATCATTTCATGACTGGGGGTACCTTCTCTTCTTTCAAATTTCCTGAGCCAAGCAGGTGTTGGTTTTCTCTGGTCAGCTTGAGGTACATTCTGGGGGTGAGCCACTAAATACAAATTGTGTTATTTCAGTGGTTCTGCCTCAGAGTTAAAAGCTCTGATATTTGTGTTTAAAGCTGTCATCGCACAATGTAAAGGTGAATGGCAATTTAAAATTTTGTTTGACTTTAAATGATATTAAGTAGCAAATAAAAAATATGATGGCAGGGGCACCTGGGTGGCTCAGAGGGTTGAGCCTCTGCCTTTGGCTCTGGTCGTGATCTAGGGGTCCTGGGATTGAGCCCCACATTGGGCTCTCTGCTCAGCGGGGAGCCTGCTTCCCCCTCTCCCTCTGTCTGCCTCTTTGCCTGCTTGTGATCTCTCTCTCTCTCTCTCTGTTGAATAAATAAATAAAATCTTTAAAAAAAATATGATGGCAAGTCTAGGGAGAGACTGTGGAAGAAAGGAAAAAGCTTTAATTTCCCTACCTTTAACAAGATGTCTGTCCTGCTTTTTGATCAAGGGGCCCCCATTTTCATTTTGCACTGGGCTTTGTAAATTATATAGCTGAGCCAGGGACTCAGGGACCACGTACTGGGAGCCAGAGATTCAGAAGTGACCAAAGCAAAGATCCTGTCCTCGTGGAGCTTATAAACTAGCAAACAAGGTCATAGCTACATCCTGAAATATCATAAAAATGAAACAAGATTCACTTTATGAGAAGTCCTCCTAAGGAAAGCAGCAGGCTAATGAGATGGACCGGATCTGTCTATGCGGGAGGGCACCTGAGTTGGTGGGCACAGAAGGCATTTACCTCTCTTCTCACCACTGTCATGGCCTCCTGGCCTCTAAGTGGTCTGCCCGACTCGTAGTGTCCCCTTAAGTCCATTCGTAATATGGAGATCCATATTTCTAAATATGGGATTTAGATCCATGAGATCCATCTTTCTAAACACAATCTGACCATTTCACACCCTCGGATGTTCGTTCATTGCCTTCCTTTTCTCAAATGTGGAACCTTAGCATGTTATGTTTACTTCTTCTTTGCATTAAGGATGCTGACCCACTAACAGGTGTATGCATTAGTCATACTGATCTTCGCTTTCCTGCCTTTTCTCCCCTTTTTCCTGCCACCTGGAACGTCCTTCTTTTCCTTCCTTCCCATCCTTCATGACAACTCAACTCACTTCCCTCTCTTTTCTAGGTTCCCTTCCCATGGCATCTTGTGAATGACAATAATTATGATATCGATGATAATGACATCATTATTTTTTATAAGACACCATGGGAAGTAGGTCTAGAAAGGAGAAGGAATAATATTTAATGTTCTAATAAATAACATTTTAATGTAAAGGTTTTATTTACTTATTTGAGAGAGAGAGAGAGAGAGAGAGAGCACACAAGCCTGGGGGAGGGGCAGAGGGAGAAGTAGACTCCCCACTGAGCAGGGACTGATTGCAGAACCCTGAGATCATGACCTGAGCTGAAGGCAGCTGGCTAACCAACTGAGCCACCAGACGCCCGAAACATTAATTATATTTAATGAGTGCTACGTTCCAGGCATTATTCAGAGCACGTGCATATCTTAGCTCACATAGCCTTCATGTTACTCCTCTGAGATAGGTGTTATTATCCATTGCCATTTTACCGAAGCACAGAGAAGTTAAGTGACTTGCCCAAGGCCACACTGCAAGTAAGTAGAGGAGCTGAGGTTCAGATCCAGAACCGTCACTCTTACCAAAAATGCTATATACTGCTTTTATCCTACATCTTTCCATTGCATTGTATTTGGAATGGTTTCTTTGCATGCCTATGTCCCCAATAGACGTTAACTATTTGAAGGAAGGAACAGTGTGTACTAGCCCGTGTCTCCTCAGTCCCTGGTAATATAGCTCTCAGTAAATACTTGTTGAACTATTAAATTTGCATTTGATTGGCCTTGAATGAAAAATCATAATATCATGAAGACATGATGACTTTACTAAGCTCAAGAACTAAGATCTCAGTGTATTAATACACCTAATAAGGATATACCCAGAAACTAATAGGTGCTTTTTTATGAAAATAGAAGTATATATATGCAGACTTAATCCATTCATTTGCTATCAAGGATTGTCTTTAGCTAATTAGGAGAATAATCACCGTTATAGTTTGCATTTGACTATTCATATTATTTTAAAAGAGATTTTTGGCCACTATTGCTTTTGTTAGAGATTCAAAACATTTCTACTTTTCTGTCCTTATCCCGCAAGTTCATTCCTTTGGTGTATCTGATTAGGTTGATGGTTTTTCCTGCACTTCTGATTGTCTTCCACAGCTTTTGCAGGCCCAGGCCCATGGCCGTGCATTTCAACAGTACTACTTAGGCTTCTCAGTGGTGGGATTAGAAGGAAATTTGGTATCCTGGCTGCCTCCCAACTCTCTCCTCCACTTTTAGGAAGGTCTATTATACTCTGCTGAAGGAGCAACAGTATTAAATACGCACATATGAAATTTGGGATGAAGCCTATGAGCACTGGCTTGTTCATTCATTCACTATTGAGACTAGTAGGCCTAAAAATTTTGCATCCCCTGAGGGATGAAATAAGGGCTCATACTGAGAGATGCTTGGAGTGGCAGAGGACCATAGCCATCAGAGAATCAGCCAGGATATAAAATTCTTTACTTCTACAATTAGCTTGGGACTGCTTCTGCCAGCAGCAGGGTAAAAAGGTAAATTCCATACTCCATTAAAAAAAAAAAATCGGGGCACCTGGGTGGCTCAGTGGGTTAAGCCTCTGCCTTCGGCTCAGGTCATGATCCCAGGGTCCTGGGATCGAGTCCCGCATCGGGCTCTCTGCTTGGCAGGGAGCCTGCTTCCTCCTCTCTCTCTCTCTCTCTCTCTCTGCTTGCCTCTGCCTACTTGTGATCTCAATCTATCAAATAAATAAATAAAATCTTTTTAAAAAAAATCACCTAATGATGACCAGTATAACTTTTTGTATTTTGTGTTTTGTTTGTAGAGACTGTGAATACAGCAGTATCCTTCTCCTTCAGAGGACTACGATTTTCTAAGGTATTTTTGCTCAAGGGTCATTTGTACTTTCTTAAGAACCTTTTGCAGTAACAAATGTGTTAGAAATTTGAAACAAGACATTCACAACTTCAAAAATAGCTATTCAATATTAAGTGTTTTAAGACTGTTTTTCATTTTAGTTTTGGGTATTTTGCTGGTTCTTCTTTCTGTAGAATATGGAAATGTGGAAAAGTAACACAAAAGGAAGCTCTTTTTCACTTCGTGTTTTTCTTCTAACATATATGGCTAAAAGTAATACGAATGCTCATTATTTATTTTTTTTTAAAGATTATTTATTTATTTATTTGACAGTGAGAGATCACAAGTAGAGAGTCAGGAAGAGAGAGAGGGGGAAGCAGGCTCCCTGCTGAGCAAAGAGAACCCGATGCGGGGCTCGATCCCAGGACCCTGAGACCATGACCTGAGCCGAAGGCAGAGGCTTTAACCCACTGAGCCACCCAGGCGCCCCCGAATGCTCATTATTAATATGGCAAATGATCTTTGGGTGAGAGCACTGCCGTGACCCCTTGTCTGACTCAATAACTGCCTCCATGAATAGTAATAATGTAATTTTAGATATTTGTATTAGATACCTGGCAATGAAATTTTGCACATGTTTCACTTTGGGTGACTATTTTATTTTATTAAAAAAATTTAAAAAAGATTTTATTTATGTATTTGAAAGAGAAAGAGAAAGAGAACACAAGCAGGGGCCAAGGGAGAGGGAGAAGCTGACTTCCCTCTGAGCAAAGAGCCCAATGTGGGGCTTGATCCCAGGACCCTGGGATCATGATCTGAGTCGAAGGCAGATGCTTAACAAACTGAGCCACCCAGGTGCTGCTGGATGACTATTTTAAAGTAAATTTCAAGAGCGTGTATTATTTTCCTATTTTGTTCTAAAGGATATTGAATGTTTGAAAATCTCATAGGGTAGTTTAAAAAAATTGTTTAAAAAAATCCTCTTGTAATTGGGAAATAAATAGGTTTATGCTCGCCAAATTCAAAGGCATACAAAATTTCATCTCATTAGAAAACCAAGATAATGGGGTGCCTGGGTGGCTCAGTGGGTTAAAGCCTCTGCCTTCGGCTCAGGTCATGATCTCAGACTCTTGGGATCGAGCCCCACATTGGGCTCTCTGCTCAGCAGGGAGCCTGCTTTCTCCTCTCTCTCTCTCTGCCTGCCTCTCTGCCTGCTTGTAATCTCTGTCTGTCAAATAAATAAATAAAATCTTAAAAAAAAATAAAAAAACCCAAGATAATGATAACCAATTTCATTTAAATGGCTTCCTCCTACTAAGACAAAGTTCTTATAAAAGTCTTACAAAATAGAAGCATCTAACATTTTATTTGCTTGTATTTCTTACTCCTTGTTTTAGGGACGATATAAATGTGTTGCTGAAGCCATCTCTGGAGATCCCGAAGAAGTGCTCTTTTGTTTGAATTTTACCATCATACACCACCCTGATTTCAATTAGAATAAATAAAGTGTATTTTTATTTTTCAGAGGTCTTAGTCTTCACTTAAATCTTTTTTTCATAGTGTATTAGTGTCTGCCATAACAAATTTAGGGTGGCCTAAATAATTAGAAATTTGTTTTCTCACAGTTCTGGAGGATAGATAAAAGCGTGGACAGCGTTGGTTCCTCCTAGGGCCTCTCCCTTTGGCTTGTAGATGGCCACCTTCCCAGTGTCTTCACATAGTTTCCTCTGTGTGTGTGTGTCCTAATCTCTTGTTATAAGGACACCAGTCACAATGGCTTAGAGCCCACCCTAAGGATCTCATTTTACCCAGCTACCTCTTTAAAGGTACTACCTACAAAAATCCAGCCATCTTCTGAGGGGTTAGGGGTGAGGGCTTAAGCATATGAATTTTGGAGGGACAAGATTCAGTCCATAAAAAACAGGCAATGAAATCTCTTGAACTGGTTGATTTCTTCCCATTTCCTGCTTCTCTACTCTGGGGCAAGTTACCCGGATTGCTCTCCTGGACTACTCTGCTGCCTCTTGACTGATCTTCTTGTGCCTGGCCAGCTGCCTCTGATCAAGTATTCCCCACAAAGACAGTTCCCCAAATACTTTCATAATACCTGTCCAGTTACATCACAACAATGCCAGTGGAACAAAATGAAGTGAAACCAAACAAGGTCCTTCCTGTGTCTTCTGATTCCTTTTAGGATAAAGTTAGAATCTTTTGGAGAACCTGCCATCTTGGCTATGCTTTCCCTCTCCAACCTCTTCTCTCACCACCCTCCCCTTGCTTTCTGTGTTTCAGAATGTGCTAAAGTCCTTCCCCTCTAGAATCTTCTGTCACAGTTTCCTCTGACTCTATTCCACTCCTCCACTCTGCCCTGCCCAACCCCTTCACCTCTGTAATGGGTATGGATCTTTCTTGGCTCAGGGGCTACTTCCTCAGGGAATCATCAGTAGGTAGTACAGAGTGCAACTCTTAACAATTTTGATGCTCAACAGAGGTAGTCCTGAGCAAAATCTTAGAGAAATCGTAGAACGTGGAGCTTAGTTACAGGTACTTTTTGCTCTACCCCCCTTTATCTGGTCTAGGCAGGGCAAGCTTTCTTTTTGATATGCTTTTGTAGACTTGTGTCCCCTTCTTCCAGTACTTAACACTCATTTTGTCATTATTTCAATCATCTATCACTAGACTAAGCTCCATGAGCCCAGGTAATGTAGTCAGCCCAGTTATGCTCACCACTCTTTTTTTTTTTTTTTAAATATTTTATTTATTTATTTGACACACAGAGATGACAGGTAGGCAGAGAGAGAGGGAGGAAGCAGGCTCCCTGCTGAGCAGAGAGCCCGATGTGGGGATTGATCCCAGGACCCTGAGATCATGACCTGAGCTGAAGGCAGAGGCTTTAACCCACTGAGCCACCCAGGCACCCCTATGCTCACCACTCTTGACTCAGCATCTAGCATAGTGCCTGGGTTTGGGTTTGTTCTGAGTCCATATTTGTCCAATGGATAAATGAATATTTTGTTCTTGTAAAATATTCACAATCTGTAACTACAGAAAACAAAATATTCATACAATCATTTGACTGATAGTTACTGAGCACCTGTCATATGTCAGGCCCAGTTCTAGATGCTGGGGATACAGCATTTCACGACCCAGACCCCCCCAAAAAAATCCCTGTCCTCATGGAGCTTATATTTTTATGGGATGAGACTGACAAATAAGTAAATGATGGAGTACTATAGAAGCAAACAAGGTGTGTACTGTGAAGAACAATAAAACAGGGAAGGGGGGGCAGGGTCATGGGGAGGTGGTGAGGATTACAGTTTTAAATGAGGTGGTCAGAAACAGCTTCACTAAGAAGATGATATTTGAAAGGGTTGAGGGAATAAGCCATGTGGCTTGCTGGGATTAAAGGATTGGAGTTTGAGAGAAGAGCTCTTGTCAAGGCCCCGGAGCCAGAGTGTATCTGGCATATTTGAGGAACATGTTGCTGTTCAAATGAAGAAAGTGAGGGGAGATGTGGTCATGGAGGTATATGTTTGCTTTGGGGGTTAAGTAGGCATGTGCAGAAGAATATGGTAGGCCATTATTAGGACTTTGGCTTTTGCTTTGAATGAAATGGAAGGTTCTATGTAGGACAATGACACCAGCTCGCATTTAAAAATGTTTTGGTAGCCAACTCTTCACGCATGGCAAAAAACAAGGGATCATCTTGTGGTAATAGAGGTAGAAAAGAACGGAGAAAGTTGGGAGGCATTTGAAGTAATCCAGGTAAAAGATGGTGGATGAAATGGTGAGAAGTAATGTGTTCTGGATATACTTTGAAAGCAGAGACAATGGCAAAAATACTTTTGCAGATAGGTTGCATGTAGAATACGAGACAGAGAGAGGTGTCAGGGATGATTCCAACTTTTTCACTTGAACACATGGAAGGGTGGAGTTGCCATTGCATAAGATGGGAAAGTCAAGCAGCAGTAGGTTTATAGGGAAAAATCAGGAACTTGTATTTGCACATGTTCAGATACCTATTAAATATCCAAGTGGAGACTTTGAAAAGGCAGTGGATATAGGAGTCTGAAGGGAGTTCTGGTTTGGAGGTGAACATTTGGAAGTTGTTAACATATAGGGAGAATAAGCGTAGGCAGAAAAAAATGAGAGGTTCGAGGTCGGAGCCTGACAGTGCTCTGTCAGCGAGTGGTTGGGGGTGAGGAGGAGCTAGGGAAAAAGGAGGGACCATGAAGGTAGGCAGAAAACCTGGGATGTTGGTCTATGAGAAGCCAGATGAAGAAACTGTTTCAACTGTTTTGTTCTGCTGATATGTTAAATAAGATGAAGACTGAGCCTTGAAGTTTCATGAGTGGAGGTCATTTGTGATTTGATATTGTTACCAATAAAGAGCCTTCTAAATTTTGTAAGCATCATTTCCAACTGTGGGCCACCCAAATGTAGAGGTCATATATTAAGCTCCTTTAGGCCTGTGGAATGCCCCCTCACTAAGCTTTGAAGTAGGAGGACAGCTCCATTTCACCCTTTAAGGAGAGGGGCTTGGGGAGGCAGCTCACAGCCCAGCTTTCTCCAAAAGCATCCTCCACAAATATCTTTAAAAAAAAAAAAAAGATTTTATTTATTTGAGAGAGTGACAGTGAGAGAGATCACAAGAGGGGAGAAGGTCAGAGGGAGAAGCAGACTCCCCATGGAGCTGGGAGCCTGATGCGGGACTTGATCCTGGGACTCTGGGATCATGACCCAAGCTGAAGGCAGCTGCTCAACCAACTGAGCCACCCAGGTGCCCCACAAATCTCCTTTAAGATCTTCCCTTAGATTAAATGGTTTCTTGACCTTTTTATTTACTTGATGCAGATACTTTTTACTACTTGTTGTAAACACTTTATATGCCTAATGTAAATGGTTTTTATGTACTTGATATCTGATAACCCATTCCACATCTCTTGAAATCTTGAGGGGTTTCCTATTTCCTACTTCCTGATTTTGTTCTGGTGTATGCCACATCCCTAGCTCTAGGAAAGGATCCTGACTTGCTCTATCAGCCAGTGTGAGGTATTCCCTAGGGCATTGTTACTCGTCCAGACTGGATGCATGACTAGTGTTGGCTTAATCAGACTACAGTGAAGACTGAAATTTCTTGTCTGTCTCACTGGATGTAAACAAAGAGGGATGTTGCCTCCATATCTGCTGATAGTCTTCTGATGACCATAAGGTGAAATGGATTTGGGATGAATCTGATGCCATGGTGAATTAGAAAGAACCTGAAACTTTGCAGACACTATTGAGTCACTGAATCAACTAAGCCCAGACCTTGCCATACATCAGAGCTTTCCTGTTACTGGTTTAGTGAATTGGAATCAGGACTCTGTTACTTGCAGATAAAAACACTGTAGTTGATTCACAGTTACACTGTCTACCACATCTCAGAAGTCGGGCTAATTTCTGATTCTGGCCCTCCCTCTATTCCCCTCTGACTTTTTCCATTGTTTTTAACTCCTCTGTTGCTGATGTTTGTGGGCCCAATTTATCTATTAGGCACAGTAGGCACAGTGCGTATATTTATAAATATCTAATTTTATGCAGATGGGGCCCATGAAAGTCATAATGTGGTCCTGAGTGTTTGGTTACTACATTCTCTGATTTTTGTTAATATTATAAGTTTGCCCCGTGAATTGATTTCTTCAGTATCTATTTAATGCCTACTATTTTCCAGGCACTGTGCTAGGCCTTGAGGATACAGGGGTGAACAAAACAAACAACAATAGTTCTTTCCTTTACAGAGTTTTTGATCTAGTAGGAAAATAAAACAAAACAAGTAGTTATTGGAAAATATGATGGGGGTAACTATTGGAGGTTAAGTATGGAGTGGTGAGGCAAGAGACAAAAAGAGAATTGAATCTCATCTATGGGATCAGAAAACGCCCCCTAGAAGCCGTGATATTAAGGTTGGGAGTTGGCGGATGAGTCTGGAATTAATTAAACCACCCTCTTTTCCTGGACCACCATAGTTGCTCTCTAGTTGACGTCTACTCTTCTACTTTTATTTCTCATTCCCCAAACCCTCCACTGGCCTGAGAAATCATCCTTAGAATGAAATCCCTCAATCTGGACAATCTAGTCCCAGAAGAACCTTTCAATTCCATGAGCTATTTCTCTTGGCATCTTTCACTTGGTTCCAACCACATGACCTCCTTTCTCTTTCATCAATATGTTTAGCACATTCTTTTTTTTTTTTTAAGATTTTATTTATTTATTTGACAGCATGAATTGGGGGCAGAGGCAGAGGGAGAAGGAGAAGCAGACTCCCCGCTGATACAGGGCTCAATCCCAGGACCCTGAGATCATGACTTGAGCCAAAGGCAGAAGCTTAACTGACTGAGCCACCCTGTTTAATACATTCTTATCTCAGATTCTTGAGTCATCCTTCCTTGAGCATAGAAGGTATATCTTCCATATATTTACATTATTTATTCCTTTTTTCATTAAAGTTTCTGCTCAAATATAACCTCTTCAGAAAGTCCTTCCT